AAGAAAAGAAAAGAAAAAGAAAATCAACAGAAGAAAAATAATAATAACAATAACAGTATAATAATATAACAGAAAAGAACAAAAGATAAAGGCAAAATACAAGATCTAACTATATCACCATTGTTAAATGTGATTGTTTGTAACTATTTTTTTTCATTTATCTGACATTGAAAAAAAAACAGAGAGCGAAAGAGAAGAAGAAGAAGAAGAAATATTTCATATACATAATATATCTAACAAATAAAAAAAAGATTTTTTTCCTTCATTTATCTCTCTTTGAAGATAATTATTTCGATAGACGAGATAGTGCTATTTGAACATAAGCACTTTTACAACAACTATGTTGTGCAACTGAAAACATATTACTTTGAGAGAATTTTTTTTGTACACTTCTTAATTTTGTTGTATCTTGTCCAATAAGTAATTGACCTAATTGTTCAATACCTTGACGAATTTGTTCATATGTATAACCAGTATGATAAGACATAAATTTATTTGGCCATATATTATCAATTAATAATGTTACTGATGTTGATGATGTTAAACGTTTATATGCAAATAAATATCGTGAAAGAAATGATGCACATGCTGATACATATGATGGTAATAAATGTGATAATGAATGATCGGTAAATGTTAAATCAAGAAGATATTTGCCTAATGTATGTTCAATATCAGTTGCTTGAACAATTTTTGAATAACGACGAAGAAAATTTATTGATAATGGTCGACCAAGATCATAGGATAATGTTGATATTATACGTCGTTCCATTTCTTTCATATCTTCTTTTGAATATGCATTATCTGATACATAGACAAAATCATTCATACCGGGTATTGTCATTTCTTCATATTTACATGCTAATAATAACGCTAAAATAATCAAATAGTTAATTATGTAATATTTCAATGACTCTTCATTTGATAAATTTAATCGAACTGTCTTTATCTACAAATGTTCGAAAGAGAGAGAGAGAGAGAGGTATGATCACTTCTTCTAAAGCGTCTCGCATAATTTATAAAAATTCCAGGGTAATATTAAATCCATAGAAATGGCATTTCTTTTAAATAAATTAGAGAAACAAACAGAAAACTTTTTTCAAGTGCAAATTTTAGCTTTATTCAAATGAAACCTTTAAAATGCTAATACTATTTTAGATCAACTATTCATGCATTATTAAAGCTGTACAAAGTAATTTTCTCAAAAAACTTTTTGTACTCATACCGGTTGATCCGATAAGTTGTAATTCATGTTTTGATACATCAACTAATTGTAAATAACGATCGATAAGTTGAATTGTCATATGAAATGTATCTGAAAGTAATTTGAAACGATCATGTACTTGATAAAGCCAATCGATAAGTACAGCTCGATTTTGAGGTGAAGCTGTACCTAGAAAATCAATAGAAAATAATATAAAACAAATATATTATTTAGTCTATTTACCTTCATTACGATTTAATAAAAAATTTTGACGAATAGATGTATTTTGTTCAAGTTCACGCCAATATTTACATATATCAACGACATATTCTGAAACAGTCGTTATATTATGTGAATCACCACTATCACAATCATATTCGGATGGAACTTTTGTAAGTTTAGCTATCGGTTCATAAGATATAATTTCATCACTTGCATTACTATCATTTAAATTAATTTCTTCAATTTTATTTAAAATCAAAGGTAGAGTTGCTGATAATGATAACGGTGCTACTGCTGGTGGTGGTATAGTTATTATTGATTTTGTTTCCAAAATAGTTGCCACAGATTGTTGTTGTTGAATTATTTTTGGTTTAGTTATTATCGATGTCATTGGTTTATTAGACAATGATACATTTCCAACTTCACCAAGAACACCACGCATTGTACCTTTTGTATTATTATTATTATTTAATAAAGTTTGTTGAGATTTTGATAAATGTTTTAAAAAAATATTCTTTATAGATGAATTTTCATCATTTTCATTCGATGATGATGCATTATTATTATTATTATTATTTGATTTACTATGATATGGACGAAGAAAAGCGGGATAATGGTTCATGATAGTGGTGATTAGATGTATATATATATCTATATAGTATCGGTCTAGAACAAAATTAAAATATTAAACTAAATAAAAAATAGTTGAATAGAAAATATATATATGTCTATATTCTACAAGTACGTAACCGACGAATATGAATAGACTGATCGTGAGAAAAACGATGGAGGACGAGACAAATACTCGAGAAGAAAGGACTTGAAAAGATGTTTAATTATTGGTTTAAAAAAAAACACTATAATAGCGACACATTATTTTCTCCCTCTGTTGAAAATATATTATTACTTATAGAATGAATTTATCAAGAAAAAATAAGTAGAATCGAAATTTTAAAAAGATTAAGTTTAATTAGAAATCATTTTTCATATAAATGAGCGTTAGAGGACACTATGTGTCAATCATACATAACAGAGCGCTTTTAATTTAAATTCAATAGTGTATATGCTAAAATTAATAGGTGCGCCAGGTAAAAATGGATCTCTCAAGTTTCGTTATATGTACATGATTTTCTTTCGGAAAGATAACTTCTAGGATTCTCTTGAAAATCGAATGGAAACAGTCTTTCCGATGCATAACGATGGAATTATGCTCTAAAATGGTTCACTTTCAAATACCTGTATTTTTTAACAAAGCTCAAGAGAAGTTATTTGAATTAGATTACCAGTTTTCAGCGGTCACTCTTTTTAAAAACATGTTGCAGCGTTGTACTCGCATAGAAATGATACAGAAAATATTATTATTCAACTTAGTAATAAATCTTACTATGCAGTAGTGTTCAATTTAACATAACAAAGGATTTAAACAGGAGTGTAACAATCTGTTACGTACCCTTAAAAGCTCACACCTTTTTCCTTGTTTTGCGCTTAAAAATCACTTTATTAGCTTGTCCTTTTGTCACACATATATCTCATCTTAATCGTATGATCCAACCTTTATTTTCACACGAACTTGCTCTTTTCTGCTAGTATGTGAACTTTCACTTTTCATAGTATATAACCAACGATGAAATGTAGTGTAAGTACAATCTTCTATTTCAAGAAACAAATATACACATACATTAGTTCTCTAACAGTACCTATTACATCAGAAATTGTCGCAACAAGTTTCTCAAAGCATAAACAGAGGGAACAAAAAACAAACAGCTTTTTCAGGTAAGTTAACAGAGTGCCAAAATATACTAATCACTCAGCCAGTCGAATTATTTTCATCAGGTTGTGTAGAAAATTCTACGAGCAAACTTTTTGAAAAAAGTTAAGTACATAGATCAAAATTTGAGAGAGAGAGATATTTTACCTGATGCACCCATTATTATTCATTCCGAATATACACTATATTATAAATATTTAAATATCAATTAATACCAGTAAATTCATAATTTGTATCAAATACTCAACAAAATTGATCATTCATTTCATCATCTACATAAATTTCCATTTTTTTTATAAAAATCTTTCTAAAATATAATATGACTAACAAGTATTTTGTTTCATATGAAATGAATAATCTTCTTTGGAGATTTATCATTATCTTTTTATGAAAAGAGAAGTGAGTAGAATGTCTATTGATGACATATGCATTATCTTATCTTGTAATAGATATTAAAACAAACCATCTTAATATAAACATTAATTGTTAAAACAACATATGGGTTGTATTCAGTGTTGCAAAACAAAAGAATCAGACGATACAACAAATAAATCTGATCAAAATGGTTTGAGAAGTTTATTTTATGCAACAACTGAATTTGATCTATCAAGATCCGATAGTGAAGATGATGATGAAGAAAATTTTTCTCTTAATTCAATAAAAAGTAAAAGAAGACAATCAGCAAATAAAATTGTTTTACCTTCAAATGAATCAAATCCTACAGATCAACCTTCGCCAATAATGGATAATAATGGTTTGATTAACTGAATTTTTCGAACAGATATTCAGTAGGCTTTTCTAGTTTTTTTTGTCAAAGCAAAACTAATATTTTTTTTGTTATTTTTCTATAAATAAAATAATATTTTATTCTACTTATCACCTGTTAACTCAGAAAATCAATGATTTGTCATCATTATATTCATATTTCTCCTATGGAAATTATCTTTTTTAATAAAAAAACTTCGTCATTCTTATCTTTCACTGTGTCATCATATGCTTGCAATCTTTGTGATATACTGCATCTGTTGCTTATATATATATAAGGAATAAACCAGAGGTAATAATTTGCAAATTTAATTTCTACGTACGATAAAAATGCTCAATAAATTCATATTTATCGCATTTATTTGTTCCACTATTAGTTTATTGACTACTGGACATGTCATTCGATCAGGTGATAAAATTGATTTAAATGCTAAAGTCAATTTTGATTTAAAAGACATAAATTTCGGTGATAATATAACCTATTATTCTTATCATATTCACACATATTTCTTACAAAAAAATGAAAATCAAGTAACTGAAGCAACTGCATTACGAAGTAAATTTATAAATCAATTTGAAGTTGATAGTTGTAATGCTGCCTGTGGAACATGGTGTCCAAAAATTTGTCATTGGGATTTAAATATGGCACCAGCTGGGTAAAACGATAGATTTCATTATTTTAAAATCATTATTTGTATTTAGACCTCATCCAATTGGCTCATGGGGTATTTATGTACCACTTGAACAAGTTACTGAAACTATATCATTTATTTCAATGTATCATGGTAATCTTACAATTCTTGTACATCCCAATTCTGGTCAAGTTAAAATTGATCATCTTATTAATGGATTTTGGATTAAATCAATCTTGCCACTCGATGGTAAATATTTCATATATATATATATATATGGAAACGTTTTATATCTATATTTTTAGGCGATGAATTACCTGATACTGAACCAATACCACCTCATGGACATTGAACATTTTTTTTTTAAATTATCATGAATAAATAGAATAAAATTTAAAGTTTATTCAATAGGAATTTATTATATATATGAGAAAAAGCCAATGACAGTACGATTATTGATAATAGAAAAAAAATATTTTTTCGTATATATTTTCCATTGACAAAAGAAAACAACACTAAATTTTTTCGAAATAAACAAAAAAGAAAATAATAAGTGGAGGTATCATTCATAGGAAAAAAAACCTTAATTCGATTTTTGCTTTATCTTAAATACAATTTTCAATCTGACACACCGTCATTTGTTTTTTTCATTCTATTCATCCATTATTTCAATAACTTCTGGTTGTTGTTGTTGTGCTGTTGCTATATAAGACATGATTTGTTGTGCAAAATATGGATCATCATTAAACATTGACGCAAAATTTTGTCCACTACCCATTAATTGTTGTATACACATAAGACGTTCATTCATTAATTGTTGTTCATAAATTTCTGGTATTGATGTAACTGATTGTTGTTGTTGGTGGTGGTGGTGTGTATGATCTTGATCAATATTCATTTTTTGTTGATCATTCATATCATCAGATTCATTCGTCATTTTCATTTCTGAACCTTTTAATTGTTGCATACTTGTTGCACTTTTAAGTGTTGATGATATATCAGCACCCATTGATGGCATATGCATTGTTGATACGGAATATTGTGTTGGTAAATTATGAACATTTTCACGATTATGATGATAATAATCAGGATCATCTAAATATATATTTGATTGGGAACGTGCGGCATTTGATGATGCCATTGATAAAACTGATCGTGATGCAATATGACTTAAACCATCATTGCCAACATATGTAAAACTAAAAAACAGTTCTTCTTATAATTATTTAAATAAGAATAAAAAAAACAAACCGTTCAAATGCATCATCTGACATGCCAAGTGCATTGATAGATTCAGTACTTCCTAGAAATAATTCAATGAATTATAAATATAAAAGACTGTTTTTGTTTTCGTATTACCAGGTGGTGTTACACAAACTGGTTCATTTGTAAATTCTGCATCAAAATAACGTGTATCTGTATCTGAATCAAGTTCTGGTTTAAACGGTGGTGGAACCTGTACACAATAATAATATTTTTATTTTAAATTTAGCAAAAATAGAATGAAAACAAACTTTTTTCTCTTCATATAAACGAAATGGTATATTACCAAAGAATGGATGACGTTCAACTTCACGAACATCTTCTATACCTGAACCAATACTAAAAATTTAACAAAAAAAATTATCATAGATTCGATTTCTTCTTTTTTTTTGTTCACTTACCGTTCAGTTGGTTCTTTTATTAAAAATCGTTTAATTAAATCAAGTGCAGCAGGTGATAAATTAGGTGGATATATTGGTTCATGATTAAGAATTTTTTGAAACAGACCATCTTGACTTTTACTATCAGCAAATGGTAATCGACCAACAAGACATTCATACATAACAATACCAATACCCCACCAATCAATAGCATTTGTATACGATGTCATTCGAAGAATCTAATCATATAGAAAAATGTATAGTTGATCTATGACAAAGCCTCTTAAAAATATATGAAAACGTT